CACAAATATGAAGTATTCACTGGGATCTCTATAAAAAGCCATAATATAGGTATTTCACATAGCAGACAACTAGAGACTACAAAAGTAATTACCGTCCATCCTAGAACGTTGCGCGCAAACTCAACAACAGCCAACTGGAAACCAAGACAAATTCCCAGAAATGGAATCCCGCGTTCACGACAGTAGCGAATTACGGAGACCTTTCCCTCACAGCCGCGAACGCCGAATCCGCCGGCTACGATGACAGCGTCAGCGTTGTTGATCGCTAGCCATGAGCCATGGTACTGATCGGGCGTTAGTTTCGCCACCGGCGTCTCCAAATCCTCAGTGTTCACGAGGTCAACCTTGACATTGCAGTTGATGTACGTTGCCGCATGTTCACACGCCTAGGAGGCCAATGGAAGCAAGAGGAAATCAGCTTGATATGGCAACAAAAAAGGAATCGCATTTTTTACTTAGTTATGGATTTTTTTTCAAAAAATAACTCGTCTCACTGCGGGTAGTAAACGTGGTTAGGTGTAGCTAATGTCTTTTAAGACTTGCTGTTGTTCCTCAACAACCAAAGGTCCATTAAATGGGCATTAAAATTTTATAGTTTGACAGAGCCCTCAGAATAATCTCGAAGGGCTTGACCAAACGCTGAAACCGACAGCGGGCGAGTGCTACAAATTATACAAATAAACCTTCTAGTGCGACAGTCCCAGCCCTCACTTTCATTCCGCCTGACGAAGAGCTAGTGTCACCAGCTCGAAAATTTACGAATAAAACTCCATTTTCCGACGAGCCGTCTCTTAACATACAAATGTTTGAAAATTAAAGCACTATGCGATTCAGAAAAGGAAAGCAACCCATCTCGACAGAGAATAGGAACCTTGTCTCCCTATTGGCAAACTTGAGTTAGTTTCCAAGATTATCATGTTGAGAAAGGTTTAAGGTTTGGGTTATGGCTTTCCAGAATCTTGCGCAAGCCACCTAAGCAGGAGTTCCTACTCTTGTGTCTAACAAGTTACGTTCCCAAATCTCTGATGTTTGGGCTATCCATCTGATCAGCCAATAGAGCTTGCAAAAATGAATTTTGGCTGATGTGGCTACCAGTTATTTACCGCCGCTAGATAAGCGGACAAAGATCTGTTCGACTTCTTAGAGCAAGTAGGCGGTAAGGACCATGTTAGAACGGCCAAGCACGCGAGTTATCACTCGGGCCGTCCTGAGGATACGCTAACAAAGGAAGTCACATGCCAGCGGGTGCATGCAGAACGGGCCAAGACGCGCGACCTTCAAGGGCAGACAAGCGAGGACGCAGACAGCCGCCAGTCGGGTTCTGAGGTCACGTATGACAAGGGGCCACGAAAGGACGCATGTAAATGCGCGCGCACACTGAGGTCGCCGC